ATTGCTTCAGAGTCCTCATGCATGCACTCTTAGATTTTTCGATTGCTGTATACGTACACATATATATATATAAATAATATCATTTGCATTTAATGATAACATTTTATTTAATCAATTTTGCTTTCAGGACAATTGGACTCCTGCTTTAACCATAAGCAAAGTTTTGTTATCGATTTGCTCTCTCCTCACTGACTGTAATCCTGCGGATCCCTTGGTGGGGTCAATCGCCACTCAATATATTAATAATCGGCAAGAACATGATAGGGTTGCTCGAACATGGACAAAAAAATATGCCAACTCAGTAACATATCCAGGAGGCAGTGGCTCATTCTGCTCTGGGAGTTCAATGACTAATATTAGAGGAAATAGTATCCACGAGAAATCAGATACTACTGATATTTTTAATGGCCGAGTCACTGTTGATTCAAACAATATCTCTACTCCTTCGAGCTGCCTCCAATCTTCTGTTATTCCTAAAAAAGGTGTTCTACAAGGTGAGATTTCTGATCTCACTGTACCATATCCTCATTTAAATGGCCAAACCTTTGATTCCACCTTCGCTGTGGACTCCACGACAATCAATCATCCAACTTTGGATGTAAAAAATTCCAGTGAACATGGTACTCAGCAGCCGCTTTCCAGGTATTCCGATTTTTGCTTAAATTATTTTTCCTAGATTTTAAAATTAGCATGCCTCATCTAGTCTTTCGTTTTCTTTGCATCCGGCAGACTTCGCCTTTATAGTCGTTCTTATGTAAGGCCTGCCATATATTTGGTTAAAACTAAAATATCTGCACTTAACTTACGTAAAGGTTTGAAGACTCATAAAGTTTAACTAAAATTTCAAGCAATAATAATAGTTAGGTGAGATGATTATTTATTTGGAATATCTCTTATGTGGCCAATATCTATATATGATGGATATTTAAAGTTTTTTACTAAGGGCTAATGAAATATAAGGATATTTCATTATCACTGATCCGTAAATCAAAGCTATCATAATGTAATTCTTTAATAAAAGTGATTCTGATAAACATCCAAGTTGTGATATTGACTTGGCAACTCACTACTTTGTGGAATTAGATGGAGGTATATCCAGTATTATCAGAGTCCACCTAGCTTGGGAAGAATGGAAATGGGAACAAGTAGATGGTAAACTACCATTAGTCTATGACCAGTTTAATTTGTATTGGTCTTTTCTTCATTCTTATTTATAGTGACGATGAAGTTAATACCCAGCTATAAATAGTTCACTTTCATTTTCAGAAATCCATCTTTTTTTTTAGCATGACTAATAGAGATACACAGAGGGAAATTTTATATCAATGTACTGCTATTTTACTTGATAGTGTTAAGATAAATAATTGCTCTGGAAATATTTATATTTACAAAGGATAGTGGGCCCATTCAAAATTTACTTTTTAAACAAGTTTCTCCCATTATAAACACTATTTATCTAGATTGT